TTTTTTTTGTACTGGGTTTTGAACTCGGCTCCTTATGCTTGCAAGGCAGGCTGTGGTACCACTGAGCTAAATTCCCAGCCCCGTTTTATTTTTTATTAAAGGCGTGTTTCTTTAGGCAGGCTGCCTTCAAACTCAGGCAGTCCTGCTCAGCCTCCCAAGTGCTGAGATCATAGGTGTATGCTACCACACCTGGCATTTTGTCATCTTTTAAGAGGTTGGACTAATCCACTATTTCATGAAATCCAGACCACGACCCATAGCATAAACACCACTTGAAACTAAAAACCCAAGCAATTCATATGCTGGAAAAAGGCAGGAAACTGTTTTCATGCATTCCCAAGGGTTTTTTTTTTTCCTTTTTCTTTTAGTGTTAACAGCACTGAGCTTTCAGTGCCCTCTGTTATCAGCTCTTCTTTTTTTCCATTTTGCAAATATTTATTGGTACACTTTTTTTTTTTTTTTTTTTTTTGAGACAGGGTCTCACTATGTAGTTGAGACTGACCTGGAACTCACTCTGTAGCCCAGGCTGGTCTTGAACTCACAGCGATCCTCCTGCCTCAGCCTCCCATGTGCTGGGATTACAGGCATGCACCACCATACCCGGCTTTGTTTTTTGAGGTACTGGGATCATACTTGGGACCTTGAGCTTGTGAGGCAGGCACAGCACCACTTGAGCTTATCCCTGGCCCTGTAGGTACACTTTAGATATACATAATGACAACACTCGTCATGGAGAATTTGCGCCGTACATGATAGATCGTGCCTCTTCTTTTTTTCCCATTCCCTTCACCCCGTAAGTCCCCCTTCCCTCCCTCCATGCAGATGCTTTGTTTCCACTTTTTTCTTACATTTTTACTTTTTTTCTTGTCCCTTCCTTTCTCCCTCCCCCTTTCTTGTTCCCCTTTCCATTTGTGTTTGGTTTTTTTGTTTATCAGTACCGGGAATTAAACCCAGGACCTTGTGCTTGCCAGGCAGGCTCAGTGTTTTTGTTTGTTTTTAATGCAGGTATTCAGAGTTAGAATTAATCAGAGTGTGGAATATTCTACTGTTTTTTCCAGGTCCCTCTATTTTAGTCATCCATCTTCACCAAAATTTTGGCCATGGTTGTTTCTTCTCCATTCCAGATAAGAAACCTACTTGACAGAGTTATAGGGGCTTGCCTGAGTTAATTGTCAGCTCCTGGCCTGGCATATAAATGTAAAGCTATCTTTTTATATCTGAGCGAGTAGTAGTTAAACCATGTTGGGTCCACCCTGTAAGGTACAGGGCATATCACCACAAAGACAGGGAGAGAGGGAAATAGGAAAGGTCTTTTTGTGTATATGTTGGTGTTAGGGATGGAACCCAGGGCCTCATGAGTATTTGGCAAGTGCTGTACCACAGAGCCACAGCCCAGCCTCCAAAGGTTCTTGAGAATGGTATGCATTTGCCACCTCTTTCTTGGATTTTCTTTTTTCTTGATTTCCTTTAGGCTAGCCTTAAAATCACTATGTAGCCAAGGTTGGCCTCAAACTCATGCAGTCCTCCTGCCTCAGCCTCCCAAGTACTGGGATCACAGATGTGCACCACCACTCCCAACCCTTCCCTGGATTTTCAGCCCTACGTTAGCAAAAGGCTAAGCTAGCAGTTTTCTTGCTGAAGTGATTTGCCTGGGAATTTATCTAACAATATGTGTTATTTCTAAATTTCTCTACAACAGAGCAGAAATTCTCTGTTCTAGAAGTTCTGGGGGCCTGGGCCCTGTTCACACTTGGAATCAGTGTCTGTGATTCTACATGGGTCACCCTTAAGCATCCACTGGTTTCCCTTTGATTACACCCTAGCAGCAGATGGTTCTCCAGGGCTTGTGTCTCAGGCCTTTTGTTTAAAGGAGTATCCATGTGCTTTTGCTTCTCTAGTCTCTGTCTCTGTCTCCCATTGTTGTTTGATCTCTGTGACTTTATTTTAGAAACTACTCATCAGATGCTTCTGTATGGAGGCTCCCTCATGTTTCCCGAATTGTTCCCTTGCTGCCTCAGAGTTTAGCTGAACCCCTAGACCTAGTGGATCCTAACCCCAAATTGCTCAGCCCTGCCTGAGCAATCTTTGGAGTACTTTATGAGTAATCCTGTGGATTTTTATGTTTCCCCACTTTATTTCATTAGATCATTAGATTATATCTTTTTTTTTTTTTTTTTTTTTTTACCAAGTTCTGAACTCAGGACCTTGCACTTGTGAGGCAGGCAGCGGAACCACTGAACTAAATCCCCATCCCCATCCCCCTGCCAGTGTCTTTTAAAAGGCAAGTCTGATGACTCTCTTGTTTTAAGATCTTGGAATAAAGTCCAAGCCTGTCTTTGTGTCGTGACAGGGTTTCGCCAACCTGCCTTTTTATTCTTGTCAGCTTTGTAGTATTTTCTCCCCCTCGCTTTCCCCCAGGTTTCTGTTCTGCTTTCTCTGCCCACTTTCTGCCCTTCTAAGGTTATCTTACTCCTCCTCTCTTCTGTTACTGTTCCTCACCCCGGTGTCTGTCCCTTCATCCCATGTGCCTGTCCTCGCCGACTGGTCCATTCAGCCTCAGTCCCAGCACACACTTCCCCTCCTCTAGAAGGAGTGAAGCCATAGTAGCCATTGCTTCCAGAGTGTGGACATGTGTATAGGATCTGTGGGGCGTTATAGTTGTATCCCTCCACTCGTTCACTGCCACTGTCCCCAGAGCAGTGACAGTCTTACACAGCCCTGGGAAAGGTCGAGTCTGGCACCATAGTGAAAACTTGGAAAGTAGTCTTTGTTTTTGTTTCAATTTGGAGGCTGGAGGTGATTGCAGATATAAGGTCTCCAGATATTTCCTCCAAACCTCAGAAAAGAAGGCTGAAAATCTTCAAAAGCAGATTGTTGCCTGATAGCTTCAGGACCTAACATGACATCCCACATGTCAGAAGGCCCTCCTTTACCCAGTGAAAGTTACTTCTCACAGTATAGACACACTGTGTGTTTTGTTCTCACAAGAGAACTGATAAGTAGCTCAGGCCTGTATTTCTGGCCCTTTTCGTTTTCATACATTTCTCTTCGCATTTTTCCATGGCCCAGTATATGAGCTTGGGGGTCTGGTGGTGGCAGCGTGTGGTTATGCTTGTCTGGGAGGCAGGTGGACTGGTAAGTATCTGGATATTTTCTATTTGTATAATGGACAGAGGGAAATCAACAAGTAGCAGAAGGGAGAGAATAATAAAAAGCATGCCTCTTTTCCTCCACTATGAAGGATGAACCTGGGCCCTTCATATCGAGCTTCACATTGTTTTTAACTTTTATTTTGAGGCAGAGTCTCTCAAAGTTGGCAAGTTCTGCAGGATGGTCTTGAACTTCAATCTTCCTGCCTCAGCCTCCCAGAGTGCTGACATTATAGGTATGCGCCACCACAGCCAGCTCAGAAGTGGCTTTTAAACAGATGTGAAAGTCTTGTTTGCCAGTTTGTTTGGCTGGAAGAAAAGGTGTTAGATACTCATTGAAGCTAGCACAGTCTCGGGTGTTTCCTTAGGTATACACGTGGACTAGGCAGTGATGTTCCTCAGAACTCTGCAGCCAGAAGACCTCAAAGCCATCTCCCCAGGACCCCCATTGTGCTTGTTCTGCATATTCTGCTCTTTTCTTTTCCTTTCTTTCCCCCTCCTCCTGCTCCTTCTCTCTCCCTCTCTCCCTCCCTCTCCCCCTTGTGCTTGCCACGAGTTTGAGGCGAACCTGCCAATACCTTGTCTCAAAATTTTAAAAAGTAAAGGCCTAGCAGTGAGTGTAGCTCAGTGCGAAAGCCTTGAGTTCAGTCTCAGGACTGGAGAAACAAACATCAGCCACGGAGCTTGCTTAGCATTCCTTCAGGTGAGGAAGTGGGCACAAATGTGAGAGTGTATCTAGTGATGAACAGAATGAATCAATGATGCAAGACTCTTGGCATATCGCACTGAATCCTGTCTCCAGGGGCTTTTTAGGCAGTGGTCACTTTGAACCTTAAGGACAATATTCGCACTGGACCATGCATGGGAGAGGAGAGTACAGTGTTTGTTGCTCATTTCTACACACAGAGCATTGGAGGAATGGGGGACTGCTTGATGTGTATACAGGTAGACCAGTAGCTGCTTCTCTTTCCTGTCTGGCTAACATCCCTGCCTTCATTTTGAACTGTTCTTTTCCTGAGCTCTGAGAAAAGCCCCCTGCTCTTCTTAGCCCAGCATGTAGCATGTGTGACAGTGCTAGCTTGGTAAGTGCGTGCCGGGGTTCACTCAAGGAAGGAAAGCTATAGGGTCTCTCCATGGCATTCGTCTTGCTGAAGAATTCACTGCATCTGGCGGTGTGCCTCAGGCCTCACCCCTCACCCCCTTGTAAGATGCCATAAAAATGACTTCGTAAAAAGAAGCGTGAGCTTAGATTTCACATTTATGATTAGATTGAACATGCCTAAAGTGGCTCAAACCAATTTCTGCAAACATTTCCCAAGTGCTAGTTTGAGGACTGCCTTGCTCCTTGTAGACCACTCCAGGGAATCCTGCTGGCTACTGAATTGGCAGGCAGAAGAAAGGGGTCAGGAGCAGGCGAACCTAAGAAATCAGGGAGTATTTGGAGAAGAAAAGAGCAAACTCAGACTTGTCTTGCATCCGTGTCTCCGCTGGCTTGGGCTCTGCTGGAAGCCACATAATTTTGACTGTGCTTTTGCACGAAATAACATGCAGACCTAGAGGGCAGGGACAAGCCTGGAGCAGTTGGCAGCAAACTAATAATGCAAACTAATAAGCCCCTGCCTCATTTCAGAAAGAACTCTTCCACTTCCTAGTCATTGAAACATATATGAGCACCACTGGAGTTCTGTGTTCTCTCTCTCTCCTAAGAATAGAAATATGAAAAATTAGCAACAGTTCAGTAAAATGCTTCTAAAACTGGCAATTAAAGTTGTTGGGGGCAGATTGTAGGAAGTGGCACCCATTGTTTCACTAGTCAGAAGGCTTTTGTTAACGTGGTGGCCTGCTTCTGTTAGAACATTAAGTTTCTTAGTCTGGTGTGGTAGCACACATCTGTAATCCCAGCAATCAGGAGGATCCCAGGTTCAAGACCAGCCTGGACAATTTGGTGAGAGTCTGTCTCAGAAAAGAAAAGACTAAGTCTCTCTGAGCAGTTACTTGATATTTTTGCAGTGCCTCCCAGATGTGAGTGAGTAATCAATAGTACATTCCAGAACACTTTTTAAAAGGAGCAGCTTGATCCTGTGGCAATCAACTAGTCATAGAAAATAGTGCATGCTCTTCAGTTTGAGAATACTTTGTGTGTACAACACTCATTTGGGCAGGGTTAACTTAAATAAGGGGGACTATTGTGACCATTAGCAGGAAATTCATCCCATCCCACATTTGAGGGCTAACTTTGAACTAGGAGTGTGGCGTTACCACGTGTGGCAGTGCAAATGAACAGGAGAAGAGATATAGCTAGGTGATGCTAAAAGGTGTTGACTATATAAGAGAAACAAAAATTTAGTACTCTTTAAATCCTAGGAAGAAAATGGGTAGGTGTAGAGATAAGAGTTGGTCTACAATCATTTATCTGATGGCTTTTAACATTTACTTTGTTTGCCAGTTGTGGCACACACCAGCAATCCCAACATTGGGGAGGCTGAAGCAGGAGGATCTCTGAGTATTCAAAGCCAACCTGGGCTATACCCTTCAAGGGTGGCCTGAACTACAGAGACTTTGTCTCAAAAAAACAAAACAAAACAAAAAAAATTTTCGTTTGTGTTAGATTCTGCAAAAGTGATATGAAAACAACCACTGGGTGTTCAGTTACAGGAAATTTAGCAATTTCTTGTTTTGAGATTTAGAAATTTAAAAAATAGAGGTTGAACTGCTTTCATAGATTCCACATGTTTTGTTTTGTTTTGTTTTGTTTTATGAGACAAGGTCTCACTGTGTAGCCCAGGCTGACCTCAGACTCATGGTGTTCCTCTAGCCTCAGCCTCCCAGATGCTGGGATTATTATAAAGCATGTGACCCTGCACCTGGCCCAACCTTCTTAAGAATCATCAAAAATTATTCAGAAGATACTGGTGGAAAACCTTTGTTTTCCATTAAAGAAAACTAGTATTTGTATGAGTAGCTATCAAAACTTGGAAGATTTAGCCAGGCGTTGTAGTGCAAGCTATAATCCCAGTACTCTGAAGGCTGAGGCAGGAGGATTGCCTCATTTGAGGCCAGCCTGAACTACGTAGTGAGACCCTGTCTCCAAAACAAAAACCTGGAAGATTTAAATATAATAAATGATTTCTCTGTTGAGCAACGAATACTAAAACTAATCCTGCTAGTTCTTTTTGGAATTTAAATTGTTAATGGTTTAGATAAATGTTAAGAGTCAGATCTCCAAACAGTGGCAGAAAGACTGAAATTAATGATACCTTCTGAGTGTAGACTCCCCCTGTGTCCTTGACAGTAGCAGAGATAAGAATGAAGATATTAAAATAGTGTTATAGGTTTGTTACAGTAGGACTGAAGGAATTTGTGGACCTCACAATAATGGCTGTTGGTGCGGGAATCCATCTGGTTGTCTTGGAGCAGTAGTAGTTCATTAGATAATTGTTGGGGGGAGTAGGGTGATGGTAACATGATTTAATATTATAGTTGTGTTTAGTAGTTTAAGAGGTAGAGCTTTGCCGGGGATTTAGTTCAGTGGTTGTGCCACCTGCCTCACAAGCACAAGGACCTGAGTTCAATCCCCATACCAAAAAAAAAAAAAAAAAAAAAAAAAAGAGGTAGAGCTTTGTTTTGGTGCGGGGCTATAACTCAAGAGCACCAAGGTTATGTTTTAGTCAGCCACCTTCAATGGCCAGTATTTTAGTCAGTTCTTAGTGTAGGCTTGGGAATCTAGTGCTTCTGTAATAGCAATGACTGGAAAGAAACCTATCCCTGTCTTTGGATACTCTAAAGAGTCCTGACCTCTGCCTGTAGTCAGTTGTTGTTTTATTTTGTTGATTATGCTTCCCTTTTTTTTGGTTTTTTTGAGACAGGGTCTCACTGTGTACTTGAGACCTGGAACTCACTATGTAGCCCAGGCTGGTCTCGAACTTGCAGTGATCCTCCTGCCTCAGCGACCTGGAACACTATGTAGCCCAGGCTGGTCTCGAACTTGCAGTGATACCCCCGCCTCAGCGTCCTGAGTGCTGGGATTACAGGTGTGCCCCCCCCCAGCAATGCTTAAATATTACTAAAACTAGATCTTGCTTTGGAAGCAAGATCCTCCAAATTCCTCTGAGAATTCTCACACTAGACAAGAAATGACATTGTCAGTTTCTTAGTTAACACTAGGGTACCCTAACATGAATGACTTTGACATCTAATGGAAAGAGAGGTCATGTTGAGGAAGGACAGGAAACTGTGGTAAGATGAATAGAAATAGTGAACTAAAAATCGAAATGCATAACTGGTAATGTGAAATAGGAAACGGTCTAAAGGAGTAGGGGAAGTGGGAGAAATGGGGGAAAGGAAAGAAGGGAAAAGAAAAAAAATATAAGGAAAAAAAATCCTTTGTAAATAGGGAAGGGTGGAAGGGATGAAGAGAAGGCAGGGGAACGGGGAAAAATAAGAACCAAGATAAGGGGTGTAAAGATATAAGATCCCAATGGTGAATGTAATTGTATTGTATACCTAAAATGTACCAATAAACTTAATGGGGGAAAAATAGTGAATGAAGCAGAGTTTTTTTGTTTTTCCTTCTCCTACTTTCTCAGAAAGAAGTTGAGATCATTAAAGAAAAGAAAACTCCCTCTGGAATGCAACAAAAATATATAATGTAAGTGTCATTTTATCTCACATAGCTCAAAGAAGATGAACGGCACCCTGGACCACCCAGACCAACCGGATCTTGATGCTATCAAGATGTTTGTGGGCCAGGTTCCCAGGACCTGGTCTGAGAAAGACTTGAGAGAACTCTTTGAACAGTATGGTGCTGTCTATGAAATCAACGTCCTAAGGGATAGGAGCCAAAACCCTCCTCAGAGCAAAGGTAAGGTCTCTGGGTTTGTGATAGGGTTCAGAGAATGACACGTCATTCCTACCAGCTGCATTCTGTCCCTTGTTGCCAGGGTGTTTCTGTAGTCACATAGGGAAACAAATCTGTCCTTTTGTAGGAGCTGTATTTTTCCAAGCCAAACTTACTTAATGGCTTAGAAATTAAAAATGAAGATTACATTGTGAGGATAGCTTGTAAATTCGATCTGGGCAGTCCTTTGTGAGAGTTTCAGCTTCCAAGAGACAGACCCATGGGAGCGTCTCCATTGGTCTTGGAATGGAGTGGCAAAACTAAAATTGAAGTCAACCACCTCAGACGGTTTTCTTTAGGGTTTTAACTAAGGTAAGGGGCTAGAGACTGTGGACTGAATTACAGAGCCCTCACACAGTACAGAATCTGCTAGGAGGGATGTAGACAACTTGTTTGCCATAACCTGCACAAAGGGAAAGGAAAGCTGAGCTATTTCCAAAAGGGGCAGCGGAGTGGACATTCAGCAGTGCTGATAGCAGATCTACATGCATCTTCCTGTCACCAATTTTAGAGCAACTTTCTGTGATCTGTTCTGTGGTGCAAATGTGAGCAAGCTTGAAACCAGTTTAGAATCTAGAAGCATGGAATTACTTTATCTTTCTGGTGTGGTTAATGAAAAATATAAAGTATCATTGTTTTCAGAGTACTGGCTTAATTTTTAAAAATCTGGTGTATTTCAGGGTGCTGTTTTGTTACATTTTACACCCGTAAAGCTGCATTAGAAGCACAGAATGCTCTTCACAACATGAAAGTCCTCCCTGGGGTAAGAAGGCTCCTCAAGAACAGAGCTGTGCTTGTGATGCATGGGCTGTGCTTGCATGTCTCGGGCATAGGCTGGAAGCTGTCTTGGGAGAGGGAGAGGGAGCTGCTGCAGGAATTGATGGAAAGGACAATGGAAAGAAGATGAGCTTAAAGCAAATCTCTGTGTGCCAAGAGCCTTGGCTTCTTTTGTGTTTTGTGGGGAATGTTCATGAGGCAGACATGCTGCAGAGTCTCCTAGGGCTTTAGTTAGGTGTCTTTCAGTCTTCATTTCAGGTTGGAATGCTGTCCCGAGACATGGAGGTGATGTTTGTGGTTTTTGCTTTTCAGATGCATCATCCTATACAGATGAAACCTGCTGACAGTGAGAAGAACAACGGTAAGCAGACAGATCATGTCTTCCCCTTAGGAGATTTCTTCTTAGTTTTCTTGCTGCCCTTTGTGCTACCTGGATTCAACCATTCTGTAAAAAATCTGTCATCTCCAGTTTGTTTTTTTTGTTTGCTTGTTTTTAATAAGTACAAGGCATAAATGATAAAAGTAGAGTGGGCAGAGAAATATTACAAAAACTCTAAATGAACTGAAATGCCCTCAGAAAGTAATTTCTTATGGACAAAAATGAGGCGGAGATGAGCAAATTGGAAAGGAGAGCTTAGCCTCCAGAAAATCATTTCCTGAGCTCATGCTCAACGAGGGTGAGGCCACGTTCCACTCAAGCAGTGCAGTCATGAAACCCAGCAGTGCAGAACAGGGCACTGGAGCCGAAGGAAAGCTCAGACTTTCAGGCTTAGCTGAGCTTTCAGACAGGAATCTAGTATCATGGCTGTTAGGACACCAAAGTTGGTGGTGGGTGGAGGTCTGTGATCGTCTTTGTTCTAATTCCTCAACTGTATCTTCTCTAATCCCAGTTCTGCTCAGTCTTCCTTATATAGAAGAGAATCTGGTGTAAGCCAACTTAGAAAACTATATGAGAAGCAGAGTCGTCTCCCAGGGGCCATGTTGTAACACCTGTGTACAGTGTGCTCTTGAAGATGTGGCTCCCAAGGGAAAATGTGAGCCAGAGAGTCCCTGGGAAACTGGGTGGCAGTGGCTCTTTAAGGTTCATTTGAACAAAACAGCAGAACAATATGTAACATGAGCTGAAAGTTCTTATTGTGTCTGTAAGAAGCTCACGGAATCAAGGATGTTAATTTTGAATTCCTAGAGTTTCCATTGGGAACAAAAATCAAAGTATCATTCAGAGTAGAAGGAAAGAGAAGAGAAAGTAGACAGTTTTTCTACTCAATTAGAAGTGGCTGTTTGAAAACCTCTTCTTTCATAGTATTGCTAGAAGGAGCAAAGATACTAGGTACTAGGGAAGTTGGGAAGTATTTGCATTTAATTCCTGCAATTGCCCTTAGAGGCAGACCTGGCTATCTATTAATCATGTGAGAAAGCCAGTAAAAAATTAAATAAATTTAACAAAGGCCCAAAGCCTCCATATTTCATCTAAGTACTTCCAAGTATGTGTAATTTTAAGATTGTACTTGTTACAAGAGGAGATACGAAGTTACACAGAAAAAAGGTGTCTTGCAATCTAAAATTAGGGTCTTAGGCAGACCCAGGATCCCTGCCTCAGGTAGCCTGGCTCCCAAGTCTGCACTGCACTGCCCTTTAGTAACATTGTTTAAGCATTTTGTGTTTTACTCTCTTAGCAGTGGAAGACAGGAAGCTGTTTATTGGTATGATTTCCAAGAAGTGCACTGAAAATGACATCCGAGTCATGTTCTCTTCATTTGGACAGATTGAAGAGTGCCGGATATTGCGGGGACCTGATGGCCTGAGCCGAGGTGGTATATTTCTAGCTTTTAAAGATGCCTGTCTTCTGTGTAGAGTTTGTGTAATTGGACCCCTGGAAATCAGATCTGTAGCCACACCTCCCCACCCCCACTCCGCCTCAGTACCCCTGTCCTGGTGAGGCAGTTGGGTCTGTTGCTTCCCACGGGCACCTGGCTTCTGACCATTGGTGTTCTGCAGGTTAGCCACCAACTACCCTAAGAGTTGCACTGTATACTTAAGTGTCATGTATTAAAATATTTTCTGTGTGCTCAGGATCATAATACCAGATGGAAGCACTTCTTCCTCCACATTTTCTTTTCTTTTGTAGATGAACGTGAGGATATGATTCCTTTTTCCTCCCTCAAGCACTTTTTGTCCTTTGTATGGGTTCCTGGGCTTTCATTCGAGCATTTCTTAGCCCACTATGATGTACCTGTCTCCTCTACCAGGTCATAAGCTCCTGAGGCCGGTGACCACGTTCATGTCATTAGCACAGTAGTGGCATGAAGTAGGTGCTCAAATCAGCGTCTGTCAGATAAACTATATTCCCCCCAAAATAAGACAGGTTATATTAATTTTTATTCCAGAAGATAGAATAGGGCTTATTTTCAGGAGGTGTACCCCCACCCCGCCGTAGAATGATCCACATTTATTTATGTACAGAAATCTATATACAGTTGTATTTTCTGGAACATCATAACTCTCCAAACTCTGAATTCTGGCCTGAAGGTTTTCCAACTCCATTTCGTAAAGAACCATTGGCCCTAGACCTCTCCTTAAATGACTTCTTCTCCTGCTCAAAGGGCTCTGGCAACCCAGCTGTCAGTGATTTTACGCCTTGAATTCCTCACTAAAGTCACAACCTCTTGCACACTGGGCTTTACAATGTTTCATTAAATCAAGTGTTAATTGAAGATTTAAGAGACAGGAGTGGCAACAAAAATGATGACAGTTATAGGAATAAAAGAACAAAAGCAACAAAAAATTGCAGCCACCAAAATTCAGAAAACATTTATTTCACATAAATGCGTTAAGTATCTCCATTATAACACATGATGATGGAGTTAGGAGGATTCGTGTTAGACACCGTGATGTCTGTCCATTATCAAGTGCACACACTTTTCATGCATTGTGTCTGTACTCTGCTCATTTGGCAATAAGTCTTGAGTTCATCTTTTTTTGTTTGTTTGTTTTTTGAGACAGGGTCTCACTAGGTAGTTCAGACTGCTCTGGAACTCACTATGTAGCCAGCCCAGGCTGGTCTTGAACTCACAGCGATCCTCCTGCCTCAGCCTCCCAAGGGCTGGGATTACAGGCGTGCACCACCACACCCAGTTTGAGTTCACCTGTTTAAATAGGCCTTTACCTCTTGTCCAAAGGTACCCGCTTGGGTATTTACAAATACATACATCGTTTATTTAAAATATTAATGCCAGTAATATCATTTATATTTAATGTTATATCAATAATATTGTTTTATAATTCACTATATCCATCATTTGTTGCAGTGGACATACTGAGTGAGTCTGTCTGTCTGCTATCTTTTTTTTTTTTTTTTTTTTTTTTTTTTTTTTTTTTTTTTAAAAAAGTTTGCTTTGAAAGTTCAGGCCAGTCTTGAATTCACTGAGAAGCCCAGGCTGGCCTTTGAACTTGTAGCGATCTTCCTGCCTTAGCCTCCCAAGTGCTGAGATTACAGGCATGTACCACCACGCCCAACCATGGCTGATGATCTTAACTGGCGCTTCTTTTGGGGGCAGAATCATGCTAGGGCTTGTTTTCCAGTAAGTCTTAGTTTGGGAGAAATAAAGTGCAACAAGTGAATGGATGAGTTACTGACTCTTCTCTTACCAGGTTGTGCATTTGTGACTTTTACAACAAGAGCCATGGCACAGACGGCTATCAAGGCAATGCACCAAGCACAGACCATGGAGGTAGGGAGCACGTACGTGAAAGGGGAAATCACTTCTCTTGAGAGTACAGAGGGTTGACCATCAGAGTCCAGCAGCTTACATAATAATGAATTGCCTTAGGCAGTCTGTCTTTAGGTAAAAACCCAGTACTTTCTTTCAAATTAACACACTGGATCTCAGTATAGTAGTAGTGTGTGCCTGTGGTCACATCTCTTCAGGAAACTGAGGCACAAGTGTCACTTGTCCTCACACCCAGGAGTTTGAAGCCACCCTGGGTAACATAGGCAGATCTGGCCTCAAAAAATAAATCCTTAAATAAATAAAACTAACGTATTGGAGGGGTGGCGATTTAGCTCAGTGGCATGGCACCTGCCTTGCAAGCGCAAGATCCTGAGTTTCATCCCTGGTACCAAAAGCATAAAAACAAACATACTGGAAATAGTTGCTGCTTTAAATTGTCTTTTGCCACATGTTTATCGGGAAGAGGGACCTATCAGAAAGTTTTTTTTCTTCACCCCAAAGGAGCGATTTGATCCCTTAGTTTTGGTTTCTGCTAGGGCTGCTCGTCCCCCATGGTGGTGAAGTTTGCTGATACGCAGAAGGACAAAGAGCAGAAGAGAATGGCCCAGCAGCTCCAGCAGCAGATGCAGCAGATCAGCGCGGCATCCGTGTGGGGGAACCTGGCTGGGCTGAACACTCTCGGACCGCAGTACTTAGCAGTGAGTCTTCATGCTGTGCTTTCTGCAGGCTGTGCAAGCTCCCAGCTGTTTCTTCCTCTGCTGTCCCTCGCTGACAAACACAGCGGCATTTACAGCTTCTTGCATGCAGAGATCTTGTGCAAAGATTCAGGCACTTTGATGTGCCTAAAGTCACATTTGTCTGTCTGCCTTTCTCTCCTGTCTGGTGTCTTTAGCTATATCTTAGGGTTTTGCTATAGTTTTAAAGTGAAATCTTGATTTCATTTAAAAATTTAAAAATGTCTCAAATTTCCCTGACTCCAAGAGATAACTCCCTGAGGGAATTTTAACTACCAAGCATCGTTCTCCATATCTCTTTCATCAGAGGCAAAGCACAGAATCAAAATCCTCATTGTGCCGGGTGTGGTGGCTCACGCCTGTAATCCCAGCACTCGGGAGGCTGAGGCAGAAGGATCACTGTGAGTTCAAGACCAGCCTGGGCTACATAGTGAGTTCCAGGTCAGTCTCAACCTCATAGTGAGACCCTGTCTCAAAAAAACAACAACAACAAAAAAATCCTCATTGAGTCTTCTCTGAAAAGCATAAAAACATGATAAATGTTTCTGTCAGTGGACTGAAACGTCAAGAGATCAACATGAGAATTATAAGCATATATTTGATTTTACAAAATTTTAATTAGACTTCCTTTGATTTCATCTCTGTTGCGTTTGAGTCACATGTTACAAAAGAAGTCCAATTCAGATTTGTTTAGATTGACTAGGTTTTCAATACGATATAAATGACTATTACTGCTTAAACCCTTCAAAGAATCACGGCCAGCATAAGTCATAAGAACTATATTGTTTTGAGACAGGATCTCGCTGTGCAGCTCAGGCTGGCCTGGAACTCACTATGTTACCCAGGCTGATCTCAAACTTGCTTCCTAAGTGCTAGGATTACAAGTGTTCACCACCATGCCAGGCAAAGCTCTTCTTCCTTAAGGAGGAGGTGGAGGTGCCACACGTCCAGTGTGCACAGTCCACCAGCTGGGACAGAACACTTTGCCTGAGGTATTTAAGAAGACAGAAGTGACGAAGTACAGATGCTGTTGGACTCTGTAGGTGATGACACATCATCGTTAAGAGGCTCTGGACATGTGGACTTGAGCCACCCGAGCGCTGACAGACTAGGACAGTGGTTCTTTGTGGGGGCTGTGACCCCTTTAGAAGACACAGTGGTGACATGGTAGCACATGTCTGTATGTGATCCCAGCTACTTGGAAAGCCAAAGCAGGGGAATTGTGAGTTTGAGGTTAGCCTGGGTAATGTAGTGAGACCCTGCCCAAAAGAAAAATGGAGAAGAAAAGACAGAACTGGTAAAAATTATTTGCATTGTTTTCATTGCCCTTCTGAAGGTTAACCTAAAAGCTGTCCATGACCTCTGCCCTACAGGGATTCAGGACCCGCATCATATGTCTATAGCAATGGGAATGGGGTTGAATAAGGATCTGGTGGAAGAAAACCGGTCTCCATAAAGAACAGCAATCGGGTGTGAATAGAGCAGAGGTTTTCATTAAGTTAACTGGGTGAAAGCTGTGGCTTGCCAAGTCACAGAGAAGCTCAGAGAGTCCCTAAGTGCACGGACAAACCGCTTGGTTTTACTCATGACGGGGACAGTCACTGAAGGAGAACATTACCAGAGCCTGTTTGAACTGAGCTGTCCACCATTTGGTCATCTGAATCCATGTAGACCAGTTTGCGGGAGAGGAGGTAAATAGAGCTGCATAGATAGGGCACTGGGGAGCAGCTGGTGAGTCATGGGTGCATTATGACTTGTTAAGGTAACACCAAGAAGTACTGTGAAATGGTCAGATAGGATATTAAAATAGCTGTGTGGAATAGAATCTGTGTATTCAGATGGGCACCATGTGCAGAGTAAGATTTGTTGGCCTGAGTAGGGAGAACTTGGGAGAGGGCCTAGAAAGGTAGTTGGTAGCAGTCGACTGTGGGTGACTTCAGCTTGCGCCCTGTGCTGTGCACTGCACGGGAACTGGCACGTGGCTCAGTGTCCGTTGAACACATTCTCTTCTGGCCTCGTGCTTTTTTCTGTGTTGTTATGTCCTGCACTGTCACAGGGCTTGTGCTTCTGTCGTGTCAGCTTGGGGTCTTGTCTTGGACGTTTCCTCTCTGGGGGCCTCTGCACTCTCGCTTTGCTGTGCTGTAGAGTTATCCCAGATGCAGAACCAGCCCTCACTCTCACTCTTGTTCTGTTTTTTGGTGTAATGTCTAGCTTTATTTGCAGCTCCTTCAGCAGACTGCCTCCTCTGGGAACCTCAACACCCTGAGCAGCCTCCACCCGATGGGAGGTAAGTGTCCGCTGCCACCGCAGAGGAGCAACAACGCCCAGGCCAGCAGACCCAGGTGCCAGCAGGCTGAGTCTTGGCAGTGTTTGTGCGAAAACAGAACGAACGAACAGAAATGCTCAGTTGACCATCCCAGGGCCCAACTGTCTTGTCTTGTAAGGTGGCTCGGCTGCTAGTTGGTGTCACATTGCTCCAAGGGGTACTTCTGCCCACCACCATCCTAAGTCACTGTTGAGGAAGAAGATGGAAAAGAACTGTTAGCACCTATGGGCGAGCTGAGGCCATTCTGTTGAGTAGGAAGTGCAGGAGCTTTCCAGCCAAGGATGGCCTCCATTTAGGTGGCTTCTCAGCTAGGACCCGGGGAGTGCGCCGTGTGTTTCACAGGACCCATGCCTGGATTTATAGTGACCTGGGTCCATAGACAGACCTGAGCCGAGTGCTCACAGGTCAGTGGAGGCAAGAGTGCCTGTGCCTGCATGTCCTGCGCTGGGAAGCAAGGCATTTCATTTGAGAAAAGCAGAGTCTTCAGACAACTTTGTTTTGCCGTGTGAAAATTTGTAATAGTGGTTTGCTTTGTTCTGGTGAGTTTAATTTGCTGTGGTTTGGGAAAGTTGCTAGATTGTGGTGGATGTGGTGTTTTTATTCTCACGTCTTAGCCCACTGCTATCACACAATCTTCCTTTCCATTACAGAGTCCATAGCACAATTTAGAGTTCTTCCTCTTCTCTGAACTGTGTTATCTAGGTTCTGTTTGCAAGTCTTTCCCTAAGTGCTTTCTGCTCTTCTTTTGATGATAAACCTGCTATTCAAGTGCTGGTGTTTTCTTTTTTCTTTGTGGTATTGCTGTTCTCATATGTACTGTCTCCTGTCATTCCTTCTGGGTCTTGTGGGGGCTCTTCTGCATTTTCTGCTTCTTTCCCTCCTTTGCACAGAGCAAATCCCTGGAAAGTCGGAATAAATGGCTTGGATGCAGTCCCATTCTGCACCTCAGCTTCAAGCCTTGCTCCCTGGGGTCCCTGGCCTGCAGTAGGGCACAGACATGCTCTTCCTTTGATTTCCTAACTGCTCACTCCATTACTGATGCTCACCTGAGGTGTGACGCTATCTCGTCTGCTAACTCTTCTCTGAGAAATGATTTCCAGTTTCTTTTCATTGATTGATTAATTGGTACTTTGGATTAAACCCAGGACCTTCACTCTGAGCTACATCCCCAGCCCTTGGTGTTTTTTTGTTTGTTTGTTTGTTTGTTTGTTTAGCATAGGAAAAAATATATTTAGAGGAAGACAGCTTCTGTATAAGAGAGAGCTAGGAGGGGGACCATAAAATGGGTTGCCCACCTTATTTCATTTTTTGAGACAGGATCTCACTAAGTTGCCCAGGCTGGGATGTACCTGAAATCCTCCTTCCTTAGCCTCCCAGAGGGCTGTGATTACAGGCACACACCAGTATGCCCAGCAATATCTGTGTCATTTTTGGAGCCCTGTGATACTGCTCAAAAGGCTCTCTTGGAACCGTTGCTTCTGCTGCCATCACTGGAGTGGACATTGGCCACCCCTGCCTGCTGGCTGACTCTTGCTTTGGCTCTTGCAGGGCTCAATGCGATGCAGTTACAGAATTTGGCTGCACTGGCTGCTGCAGCTAGCGCAGCTCAGAACACACCCAGTGGTACCAGTGCTCTCACTACATCCAGCAGTCCCCTCAGCGTCCTCACCAGTTCAGGTAAGTGTGGGACAGGCAGCTCCTCTGTGTGTCATGTTGTAAGGCAGGCCTGTGTTACTTGAATAGGAATTAATGCCTGTATCCATAGGGGTTGGGTTACCAACTACAGAGTTTCAAATATTGTCCCTGACTTAAGAGAAATCTCTTAATCTTTAGTTTGTACAATCATCATTGGTGTCTGTCCTGCAAGGACAGTTACTAGAGTAGAAAACCTGTTTGCAGGCAGAATCCCTGGATAGAATCACTTAGGCATCAGTTCCTGTTACAGGAGAAGACAAGTGATGGCTTGATGGCGGTTTGTTTTTAATTTTTAAATTACATTTTCTTGGTACATGTTTGGAGTACATGGTTATTACATTTGTCATGGGGGGTTGTACACTTACATGGCACATCTTAATTCTTTATCCCTTCCCTCCCTGTTCTATCTCTCGTGCCCCTTCCCATTTGAAAAAGATATCCCAGCTTCCTACTATCTTTTATTTGGCTCTAAAAGAGAAACCATACAATACTTAAATTTGTGTGTCTGGTTTACTTCACTCAATACTGTAGTCTCGAGATGCATCCATTTAGCTGCAAGTGCCCCGAGTTTATCCTTCTTTATGGCAGAGTAGTACTCCGCTGTATGTAAACACCTCATTTTCCTTATCCATTCATCTGTTGATGGACATGTAGTCTGTTTCCAGGGTTCAGCTATTATAGATAGCCTGAGTGTAACTCCTGGATTTCTAATAGCAGGGTCCTCACCCAGCTCCAGCAGCAGTAACTCTGTCAACCCCATAGCCTCACTTGGAGCTCTGCAGACACTCGCTGGAGCAACAGCTGGCCTCAACGTCGGCTCTTTGGCAGGTAAGGGGCAGCCCTGATTGTCACCAGACCATTCCTGTGTAAGTAGCCTATCATGGCCCACCCAGGTAGTGATGCCACTAGTATAATTACAGTGGCCCAGAAAAGTTAGAAATGCTCATGGGATTTCAAGTCAGACCTGAGTCAGTCCCACCCCTCCCCTCAGTGGGAGAAGTAGCAGTGATAGACAACCTTGGAAGGTTATTAGGGAGCTGAGAACATGGGCAGAGTGCTGATGAAAACACTTGGTACAGTGCTGAGCCTGGTGCTTATTACATAGGATACACGCAGTGAATGTTAGTTGATTACGGAGTAAACCCAGCTTCTCATTGGTCACATGTACCCCTTTTAGTCCTCAGTCCTGGAACCTGTATTTTACCACATCCTACCTGTTATGAGAAAGTGGCAGAACAACCAAAGGAGGGGATGGAGCCAGGTGTGAATGGTGTCGGTTCTTCCACCCATTGGAGAAAGGTGACAGGGAGAGCCACATCTGCGGGTGGCATTTTCTAATCCAAAACTGACCAGGTAGAAGCTAAGAGAAAAGGGGTGAACTCTGAGTGTGTCTCTAAGTATACCCGTCTTGGGTGTCTGTGGAGCTCCCCCAGGATATTAATCCTGCTCTTCCTCAACCAAGGGATGGCCGCTTTAAATGGTGGTCTTGGCAGCAGTGGCCTTTCAAATGGCACTGGGAGCACCATGGAGGCCCTCACCCAGGCCTACTCTGGTATCCAGCAATACGCTGCCGCTGCGCTCCCCACCCTGTACAACCAGAACCTGTTGACACAGCAGAGCATCGGTGCTGCTGGAAGCCAAAAGGAAGGTGAGTGCCAGGGAGCTGGGGTCAGGGGTGGCTGTCAAACCAGTACCAGAGCTGGAAGGCACGGAGAGGCTGCGGGGTGGGGGCTTTGAGGTGCTCAGCCCTGTGTTTGGAGGGAGTAGACAGAATCCCTAGAAGAGGCAATGCTTTTAGACAGTATCTGCCGTCATTAGACAATGACCTATTTTGTCAGAAAGCCCTCTCTAGGTTACAGAGCTACCAGGGGATCCTATGTGGTATTTTCCTCACTTTCTGACCAGTACTTGTCCTCATTGAGGAGAAATGGGTGATGAGACAAAGAATTAGAGCCGGCGGCGGGTGGTAGAAATGGGTGGTGGGAAAATAGGTTCTTCGACCTAAGTGGAATTAAATTCAGGAGAAGCTTTCTGGACAAGGCCTGGCAGTGATTTGTAGGAATAGAAAGCCCATGCAGGTAGATTTTGCTGGTTTTGTGTCACCATGTGAGGTTTAAGCACTAATGTAGGAAAGAGACAAATGCCTTCCTTGGCCATAGTAGCAAGGAATGCTGCTCTGGTCCTGTCTCACCTGTCTTGAGACAGCACGCTTCCTGCCCTGGAGCTGTGTCAGTGGGGGCATCTCTTCAGAAACAGCATTGACTGGATTGGATTGGATTCTTAAACTTTTATTTTATTTTATTTTTCAGTTTTGTGAGATGGGTTTTTGCTGTGTGGTTCAGGATATTTTGAACTATGTAGCCCAGCCTGTCTGTCTCAGTCTCTAGAGGGCTGGGATTACAGTGTGCCACTCGCTGGCCCAGCACCCCGGCCTGCAGCCAGTAGAAGAACCCTGACGTCCTTGGAGCCTGCCTTGGCACAGCGGGAAGCATGTGTGGTGGTGGTTGCTCCTTGGTCCCCTGCCTTGCACTTGGAGAATCTCTTTTCCTCCCTCAGAGACGCTGTGTGTTGACTGGCAGTTTCGTGTAGGTGCGGATGAAAGGCCATGGTGAGCATGCCGGCACTGACACTTTCCATCCTTGAATATTTTGAAGGTCCGGAAGGAGCCAACCTGTTCATCTACCACCTCCCCCAGGAGTTCGGAGACCAGGACCTGCTGCAGATGTTTGTGCCCTTTGGGAATGTCGTGTCTGCCAAGGTTTTCATAGATAAGCAGACAAACCTGAGCAAGTGTTTTGGTATGTTGATTTCTCTTCTGGTGGTGGTTTCAGTGGAGCAGTTTACTACTGAGAGAAAAGGCAAGGGACTTGCTGTTACCCATAGGAGAACCAGCTGGAGTTGGGTTTGGGCTGTTGTTCAGCTCAGCCTTGGGCAGCCCAAGTGACCTTTTCCTAAGCCTCAGATTTCTTTCCTCTGGAGAGGAGATGATGATGTCTGCCCTCAGCTCTGCTGTGGAGGGAAAAACAATGTATGGAAAGTGTCTTGCCAAAAAAAAAAAAGTGCTAGGTAGACATCAGGTAGTACTGTTAGGGATTAGTATATTTCTCGTGATATTTCTGGAGTTTTGTCCCTGCTGAGAAAAATTGGGACTTGAGAGAGACTAAGCCATCTCTCTCTCTCGAATAAAGAGGACTGAGCCCCACCTTGCTCCCCCGGTCCTCACCTGGGCTTCTGCTTGGACACTCAGGTTTCGTGAGTTACGACAATCCAGTTTCGGCTCAAGCTGCCATCCAGTCCATGAACGGCTTTCAGATTGGCATGAAGCGGCTCAAAGTGCAGCTCAAGCGTTCGAAGAATGACAGCAAGCCCTACTGAGTGCCCCCTCTGAGACTGGAGTGAGAGGGTCTTCCGGTAAGTCGGGGAGGAGCACCCTTAACGATTCGAAGCCCCGAGGCTGTGTTGGCAGCCCCGGACCCTGATCCCTGCCACTCTCGCAGGCACAGCTTGCCCCGAAGACTCAGCTACTGCCTTCTGTGGGAATTTCGCTTCGTACAGAGGACAAGTTTGTGCTTTGGTTTCCAGTGTTTTACTTTGGAGTTTAGGTGCCATATCCTGAGGGTTTTTTTCCCCCCTTTATTTAAAATTTGCTGTGTTTGTAACCAGTGTGTGTTGAGATGGACCAACACCAAACTGCCCTGGGAAGGAGGGGGAATGGGGAAATATTTTTAAAAGATGAAGATCAGGATTTGCCCCAGACCACCCCGAGAGAGAGAGAGGACTAAGTGGAACAAAGCGTGGCCCTAAGAGTGTCCCCAAGTGCATAGGGCGAGTCGCTCTGGGGACGGGCGGATGACCTGACGTTTAGTGCCCTGCAGCTGCAGGCGAAAGCAGCTTCATAGCTGCCTTCCATGGAAATAGACTGAGTTTTTACCACCTATTTTTCAAATTCTTGTCTTGGATTTCTGCCCCTCTTTCCTGGAAGGGGTCAACAATTCTCTGGAAGTAAAACACCTCTTAAATGGGCTGATAATACAGGGAGACATCACCCATTCCTGGCCTTCAAGCCTCCACTGGTATCAGATTGCCCTTGCCTGTTCAGTGGCTGTTGGGAAAAAGAGCCAAGGAGGTCATTTTTAATTAAATCAACATCAAATTCTACCCTGACCCATTTCCAACAAATCCCCTTTCAAAAAAGGCCTCTGTGAATGACATTACTGGGTCTCCTTCCTTGTAGTTCATCCCAAGCCACAGTTTTCTCCTGAGGGCAGATCTGCAGAGTGAGCTCTCTCTCAGGCAGTGGTCAGAAGCCACACAGTTGTGGGGGAGGAGCCTGTTCCTGAGTATCCTGAGTCACAAGACCCCTCCAGTCCAGGGTGCTGCCTTGCCACAACCAGACTTGATACCGAGGAAGAGGCAGCGGTGCTGTGCGCTTTCCTCCTTGATTGAGGCGTCCAGGGGTAGTGTATTCCCACAGTTACGGCAGACACCTCCTTCAGCCACGCCAGTCCCATTTTCTGCCCTTGGGAACAGAGAAACAACAGCACGTTTACAGTCTCCGGATGGATTTAGTGTTCATTTACCTCAGTATTTCTGTGTTCATTTTTGTCCTCGCGCTTAGTTAGCTGCTCTCTGCCTCTGCTCTGAGAAGTGCCGTGGGCTGGGAGCCTGCAGACGCCCTGTTGGAGCAGACTGTTAGCCCTGGCCAAGGGCCGGGTGCCTGGGTCCCTGGGAGCTCGCCCTGGCCTCTCCAACAGCAGAGCACAGAGTAGAGGGGTCACTGCTGGGAGTCAGAGGTGTGCGCTCCCTGCTGTGCTGTCCCTGTGGCAGAGCCAGGGCCTGACCATCTTGCTACAGATGGGTGGTACTGGATTATCCCACTGGAGCGGGGACAGCCACTCCCTTCTCACAGTGATAACTGGGCTCTGTTGACCTCTGAGAAACGTGAAACATACCCTTCTTAAGCGGAACCACGTAAACTTGAATTCTGCACACTGGGAGAAATGTGTCCTGTGTTTCAAAGGAGAAAACTTCTAAAGGCTTCCAGGGTCATGATGGGATTTTTTAAATAAATGCAAAAAATAAAAAATAAAACAAAACAAAAAAAAATGCTAGGTTGGGGGAGACACTGTTCTGAATCCCAACCGGCTGGAATCAAGAATGTCATTTCTATTTTTATAGAAGTTTTATACAGCTCCGGGGTGGAGAATATTTATTACCTAAATTATATCTCTGGAAAAGGCCAGGATTTTATAGAATCCAGAATGTGATTGTTGTACACACAGGGTGCTGTGTATGATTGAAACTACTGACTTTCTGTGGCATAGCAGCCCGGCTAACATGCCCGAGGGGAGGCATTAATGCTGTGAATTGGCAGAGGAAAGAGCTGTGCTCCCGGGGCGCTGCCGGCGCCATACTCCCGACCTTCTGTTCTGTCTTCCTCCTCGGCCAGAGCTCCATGCGCCCCATGCCCTCATGCCCCTCCCTCCACTGCCCCACTGCACCGTTGCCCGTGGGTTTGTCCTGGGCACAGGCGTGGCCTGCCATCGCGGATCCACCAAGGCCGATCCCGCTGCTCACACTCTCCCTCCTGACGGAGCGCTGGCCCAGCCCCACTCCCCCGCCCACTGCCCAGTGTGTCGCACCACAGCGGCGCTGCCCTTGAGCACAGTTCTCTCCTGGGCCAAAGATGGTTTTGTGTAGAAGCTGCTCCCCTCCAAGTCTCACCGTGTGAGAGGGCTCAGCCCGGGGAGTGGAGACTCGCAGTCAAGTCTTGAACAAACCTTTTCTGTCGTGGAGGTGTCACTTACAATGTGTTTTCTGCCGTAGTTTTGTTTCTTCCTTGGGTTACATCATGAAATCATTTGCCTTGAATGCGGCCAGACCACTGTCTCCTGGGTCCCACAGAGGTGGCCAGGGCAGGCGTGGAAGCTAAGGGCTTGGATTTCTGGGAACCGAGGGCTCTCCCCATAGGACGGAGCAGAAATCCCGGCTCTCCCTGCTGAGGACCCCCTCCCCCAGCCCGCATCTGCCTCCCCATGGGGGAGGACCCCCCCACCTCGTCCTCCACCACTGGGCACTGTGTGGGAAATCCAAGCCTTAGGTTCCCTTCTGTCTCTGGCAGCTGGATGTTTTCTTGGTGTCCTCCGTGTCCTTTTTGACTCTTCCCTGTGTCCATCGTTAGCATGTGCAAAGTCCCCTGTCATCCCGCCCCGCCCCGCCCCGCTCATTTCAGGGCTGTCCACACAGTGAGCGTCCTGTTCTCTCTCTCTGTTTGGATGTATTGCTCTGTGTAACTCAGTGGGTCTCCCTCTTTCTGGTTTGTTTTTTTTCTAGATTCCTGCCGTTTGTTCATCGTTGTGCCTAAAGCATGTCGATGTGGCGTCAAGTACATCGTCCAAATCCCTGTCTCTTCAGCTTCTCTGATGCTTGAACTCTCACCTTTGACCTTGTGTTGATCTTTGATGCTGACGTGTATTTTTATTATGTTTGTTTCTTTCTTTGTTTTTTCTTTCCTTTTTTTTTTCTTTTCCTTTTTGTGCTGCCAAAATTGGTTTTGCTAGAACGACTGCTGAAGGGGAAATATTTAAACTTGCATTTGAATATAAAAATCTATTTTTCTAGAACTTCATAAGATAACCACTTGATTTTGTGATTCCAATTCTTTGTAATCGTCTTCAGAGCAGCCCTGCTAGCACATACCGCGTGGTGTTTGTGTTTCTGTGAACACACAGCCAGTCTGTTTCTAGGCTTTGTTTCTGTGTGCTTAGTTTTAAGGACAACTTTGAAGTAAACAATGAAATAAAGGGTGTCACTAAAACCTTTGAGGCTCCTGAGCACATTTTGCTGATACAGTTTGTGGGGCTTGAGGAGACCACATGTGTTGTTCTTATTTTCGTTCTTCTGAGTTCTCGACTGCAGAACACACCTGGACCCTCTTCTCTCTGACAGCGGCTGCAGTTCGGGCCCCAGCTGTCCTTTCACTTTTCTTCTGTGGTCTTCCTTGGGGTGACCCTGTTGGGCACCCGGGACCCGTCTGGCCCATCCCTCAGCCCGCGGCTCACCTCCATGCTTGTCCTGCAGTCTCCACAGCAAAATGTGATGCTTTGATTTTGTTTTTGTTTTTGTATTGTTTTTTGTGTTTTTATTTTGAGTATTTTCCCACTACGATTATGCTCAGAAAAAAAGTTTTGCATGTTTCCTGCTACTTCTTCACACCTTTGTATATATCACCTTCACCTCTGTTTTCTATAGTTTGTGCAAAAACTGACCGATTTAAAAGGGTTTCAAAGAAGCTGTTTTAAATTGTTGTGGGGTTGTTTTTTTTTTTGTTCAAGATTGTATTTTATTTTGAAGTGGCAACTTTCTCCTCTATTGCCCGTAGAGTGTGTGCCTGTGCACTTAGACTGTCACCTCTGTGGTGTCAGGTCTGAGCAGGGTGCCCAGGATCTGGGCCACTCCCCGGAGTTGTTGGGGCGGGGCGCAGAGAAGCGGAGACAGAGCCAGCCAGCAGCTGTGGGGTGCGGGAGGCCTAAGGCAGGACCAGCACCCGGCACGGCCGGTGCTCTGACCGTGAGGGCCGCCCTGCACTGAACGGCAGCACACCTGCCCACGCTCTCCTGGGCGACAAGCACAATACCACAGTCTTCACACTGTTTACAGCCCTGGGCACTGCCTACCCCAGCTCGCAGGCTCCTCCTGGCTCTGCTCTGCTGGCTGCGGGGGTGGGGGCCGGGGCGGGGACAACTCTTCTTGATTGGGTGAAGAGCCACGTAGCTGCTGTCCCCGGGTGCCGGGCCAGCCAGTGCTTTGGCTCCCGAGAGGAACTTCGCCTCTCCTCGTGTCACTCCGTCCCGCCTCGGGGTCTAAGGGGCGAGAGGCAGAGGAGAGGAGAGGGCAGGCTGGTCTGAGGAGGAAGAGGGAGCAGGAGAGGAGGCGGTGGCCGGTCCTCCCTGGCCCTGAGCGCTGGGGACAGGACTGTCTGGGGAGGGTGGAGGGGAGCTGAGGGACAGGTGGGGTGGAAGCCCTGGTCAGCACCGTGCGTGCTGGGCTGGAGAGGGGGTCCCAGCAGGCTGCCTGGCCGTGCTGGAGGCCACTCCTGGCAGGAGGGGCAGCCGCGAGGCCCCAGTGTCCAGCAGGCTCAGCCAGCCCTGGGGAGTGGGTGGGAGAGCCAGGCCTGGCCCAGCGCCCACAGTCTGACTGCACAGAGCCGCCTCGCGGCAGGGGCGCCAAGGCTGCCCTCCCTGGGATTGAGAAATGTGTTTGCCAATAGATTTTACTTTCAATTCCAAGAGGAGCTCTGGGAAAACCTGTGGATAAAACCAAATGCCAAATGTTGGACATTGTTTCCTTTTCCTTTTCTCTCTCTCATTGTTTTAATTGTTCTGTGGTGGTTTTAATGGATTTGAGACCCTGGAGCGGCAGCTGCCTTTCTGATTTCCAGCTGCTTTTTGTGAATAATTTAAAAAGAAAAAAAAAAGAAACTTTACATTTTGGAGACAAACCTGTGTGAGTTTTTTATTGGTACAAACGTTGTATTTAACACTAGGGGTTTTGTACAGTTTTTTGCCTTTTCTACTAGAAAACAATGTAAAGTGATTTCACAATGTGAAGAGAAAAAAAAAATTGCCACTATGACCAAACGCACAGTATGTTCTGCAGCAGCAACGGGATTCAATCAACTCAAGTCGTGATTCAGCCGTAGAAATGCTTTTCCTTGACCTTGTTTGAGCTTTCCTTTCTTTCCTGTTTTGATTTGCAAAAGAAAATGTCTTTTTTGTGTGAACTTGTGTTGTACTCTGTAGAAAATTATGGATTTTACTTTAATGGTTAAAAAAAAAAAGGTAAGAAGAGCCTTTGTCGCTTTTCTCACCCAATCACAGAGTTTGTGTAGTGGATTAAAAAAAATGTTACAAGTTTGGAGCAAGGGAGTATGTGTTTCAAAGGACTCGCCTTCCTTTTTTGTGTGTTTTTCCTTTTGTCCCAGTGGGAAACCTAATCTGTTTTAATTGCACAGACACACGGACAAAAAGTCATTTTGTATCTGCCAAGTGTGGTACCTTCCTTTGTTTATTTGCTATTAAACTGTTTGAGAAGAACAGACGCTGTCTTTGGAGTCGTTGATTGCTGGGGCTTGGGGTGGTCCTGATGGGGGCTGGGGTGGAGGCAGGTCAGGGTGGGGTGATGTGTGGGGCGTTCCCGATGGGGTGCCGCTCCCTGGTGTCCCTGACAGCAGGCCGCTCCGCTGCAGAACGGCACCTGCCTGTGGACCTGGAGCTGTCACCGCTGCCGTCCTTCTGCCAGTGCTGCAGTCCCAGAAGCTGCCCTCCAGGCCCGAACCCTACAGCGGCGCTTTCTTTAGGCCTTTGCAGCTCCAGCCCAGAGTGTGTGCTTCTGAGATCCCTTCAGGTCACCACCCAGTGGTTCCGGGACACGCCGGCCTCTGAGGAACTTGAGGGTCACTTGGCCACTGGGCCAGGGGTCTCCGGCCGTGTGCTGAAGAGTGAGTCCTTCCGTGTTGCTGCCATCCCGATGACCCCAGCGATCCTGGGCAGCTCACGGCCAGCACCCGGGGTCTGCGGCAGTGACCAGTGGGATGCACCGAGCTCGGCCGGCATTCTCAGGAAGGGGAGGCCTGAGTGCCAGCACCCTGGGAGTGGTGGCTTCCTGCTTTCTGGTGCCTGAGGGCACTGAGAGCCCAGCAGAGAAGCCACTCAGGGACACAAAATCAGAAACTGCTATGAGAGGCTTAAAAGATCTTGGCAACCAAGTGTTGCTTCTTAGTGTTCTCCTGTTTATTCTTTTAAAACGTTTAGAACCAGACCTTTGTGTGAGTGTGCAAGTAGTTACCCTAGCTACTCCGCGGACTGCTCAGCGGCCAGGTGTGTGTGACACAGGCCACTCGCAGTGTCCCTTCCCTCGCTGCCCTCCCTCTTGTACAGAGGCACCCCTGGGTTAGGAACCCGGTTGCCCTTTGGAACCTGTTGTGCATTCAGAGTAACCCAGATCACGCTCCTAGTGCTCCTTTGGTCCCTAGCAGGTGCTGCAGTGCCGTCGTTGTGCTGCGGGGCTCCCCACGGGCACTATTCTCCACACGCCGGGTGACGGGAGGGTTTGAGATAGGGCCTTTACTGTGTATGTGGTGCAGCCCAGGCAGGTCTCAAACTCGATGCTCCTGCCTCAGCCTCCCAAGTGCTAAGATCATAGCTGAGTGCCATGCCCTGTTGCATTTTTAACTATAATGTTTGTGGTATTAAGCACATGTACAGTGTTTGTGCTACCATTGCCACTTAAATGTTTCCAGTCAACTCAGAATGCGCTTTTCAACCGCACCTTATTCCGACTTCTTTCTTCCTTTTTCTGAAGAGAGGGTCTGTCCAGATAGTCCGGCTGGTGTGGAACTCACCGTGATCCTCTTGAATTCCATAATCATTAATACGTTAGAGTGCTGTATTTCACACCTCCCCACACCCTTCCTGAACCTGACTTCATAAATGAGATGGCGGCTGCAGCACAGTCCTCTCTGCCTAGCACATTTTGATTTCTGTGACTCAAATGCAGGCTGGGAGAGCTGCTGTCTTAGTCTGCCTTGGGATTTTTTTAAGAACTTGGTATGAAAATTGGGTACTGGGCCAAGGATTTAGCTCAGTGGTGGCTACCAACTGTCTTGCAAGTGGAAGGTCCCAAGTCTGATCCCTGATACCCCAAAAAAGGAAAGAAAATTGGATATTGAGTAGCATCTTTCATGCTTAAAGCCTGTTTCTTAAGCGTTTACTTGGGGCCAGGCCTGGTGCTACATGCCTGTAATCCCAGCTCTCGGGAGTCTGAGGGAGAAGGATCCTCCTGTGCTACATTGTGAGTTCAAGACCAGCCTGAATTACAGTGACACCCTGTCTCAGAAATAAGATACTTGCCTAGCATACATGAGGCTCCCACACCACAAAAAATAAAATGTACCCAAAGTATATCAAAGCTATTTTTATCTTAAAATTAGGCTTACATCTTTATAATCATAAAGCTGTACCACCACCAGTACGAGGGATTGAACCCAGGGCCTTTATACTGCGCTAAATCCTCAGCCCTAGTTTTTATTTTGAAACAGTCTTACTTAAATTGCTGAGGTCAGGCTCAAACTCAGATCCTCCTGCCTCAGCTTCCACCTTCCCCTAGATGGCTCGTCACCTGCGACTCACGGCATTCCCTTTTGGTGGTCGTGGTTGCAGGGACCCTTCTCATACGACACAGCTTGGTCCCTGCCCCTCCAGGCACGCCGTTTGGGAGCTCCATCTCCCCGGCTTGGCTGGGCAGAGCTCCCATCCCGAGCTCCTGGCAGACTGCAGGGCCCCGCCCTGGGCCGTGCCGTGCGTGGGAGTCCCACCGGTTTGAAGCTCATTGAGCTGCCTGGCCTTTCCATGGCTTTGTTGAGCTGTGTTTACCTCTGCCGCTTCCCCACATGCACAGAGCGCACCATTCATTGGCTTCTACAGCCATGCAGTATTGGCACCACCCAGTGTTGGGACATTTTTGTCTTCCCAAAAAGCACCCTGTACTCATGAGGAGTCGCCCCTCTCCCACCCTCAGCAGCCACTCATCTGTTGCTTTGCTGTCCCACACATTGCACCTAAACATGTCCTGGGCCTTCTCCGCTCCCGCCCTCCCTCCGCTGCAGCAGGCATAGCCCTGGCCTTCACCTGGCCAGCCGTCCCCATCCTGCCGAGCTTGCCGCCTCCATCCAGCCCTGCACTGTGCTGCCCTATCCTGTCCAGCTCCGGGTGCCCCTGCCTTCCCACCTGGCGTGCTAACCCCTCCATCTCGAGTAACTGGCCTTGACCCAGACCGTTACCTGTTAGCCTCTGGGCAGCTGTTTAATTTCCTCACACTCACCAGTCTCCTTTCACATGTTCAAAAGCTATAGTTCCATCATTCCGGTCCGTGGTCAGCACTGTTACAGACTCTTACTTTGCTTTCAGAAAACAAAATCAAGCCAGACGTACGTGGTGAGACACACCCTGTTGTAATCCTGTTCTCTGGAGGCTGAGGTGGGAGGATCGCCACAAGTTCAAGGCTAGCCTGGACTACCTAAAAAGGCCTTGTGTGGTGGCACAGTCCTGTAATGCCAGTGCTCTAGGAGGTTGAGGCAGGAGGATCATGAGTTCAAGCCCAACCTAGGCAACTCAGTGAGACTCAAAAAAAGGGTTGTGGCACATGCTTGTAATCCCAGCACTTGGGGAGTCTGGGGCAGCTGAGTCACAAGTTTGAGTCCAGCCTGGGCAACTTAGCCAGACCCCGCCGCCCGCCGACATTTTTAAAGAGGTTGGGAATGCAGCTCAGTCAGAAAGCTCCTGTACTGCCAAGAGAAAAGAGTTTAGTAACTGAACCCCCTCCCCAAGCCCACTGCCCAGCTGATGGGAAGTGTGTTTCCGGGACCTGCCTGTGCGCCCCACACAGCTCGTTCTCCCAAGTGCCGTCTTGAGCACCCTTCCGTCTGGGGCACCGGTGCCTGCCACTTCCTTTCTTAGACGCTACGTAGCATTCATGGCTCATTGATCCTGAGACCGACCTGGGGCAGGAGAAACGGCAGTAGGTACAGTTTCTTCACTAGCATGAAGAATAGCGGTCAATTAAGCAGCATTAGTTCAATGTCTGTTTTCAGAGCAACCTCATATTTTATCATCTCGTTTCACTTCCCCAGAAAACTTGCCAGAGGGGCCGTGCCCGTCCTGCAGGGGGCTCGAGGACCTCGCCCATCTCGGCAGAGGGCGCGCGGGAGGCCAGTTGAAGAGGCCTCGGGACCCTTGGCTTCCGTGTCCGGGTGAGAGTAGGGAGTGGTGGGGACCAGGAATGAGAGAGCCATCTTTGTCCCTGTGGCCACTTAGTGGGGAGACAGTCAAGGCCCAGAGTTGCACGGGCATCCAAGTCTTGAAGCAGGAAATGCAGGTTTTTATATAAAATTCCTCACGTACCAAATACTGCAGTTCAGCTGGACATGTTCAGGCCTTATCCCCGAGCGTGACCCCTGCCTCGGGCCTGAGCGGAACATTTTCAGTTTTTGTGGGCTGGGGATGGAACCCAGGTCACATGCTGTGCTAGGCCAGCACCCCACACCTGAGCTGCTCCCCGGCCTGCTTTCTGCTTTGCCATGGGACACGGAGCTGCTGCCTGACGCCGCAGGCGCCTCCAGCTCACCCCCATCCTCATGCAGTTCTGTGGCCCAGAAAAGGCCATCTTGTGGCTCTTCCGCCTGACTCTGGTGGCTTTGGTCTCTGCTCGGCTTCTGGTAGCTTTCTCCTGCTCACCCGGGCCCCGGCTTCTCATTAGGCTCCTGGCCGACTTGGCTGTGGTGGGCGATGGGCCCTGAGTTTCTCCATGCTGGTGTCTGGTTCCCCAGGCTGGCCACTCCTCTCTCCAAGACCTCATAGTGACTGTGAGTCTCCGACGTTGCGTGGATTCAGTCCCGCTCTTGGCTTTTTCTAGACCGCAGCGTGGCCAACTCCCTGTGCTTCAGTTTCCTTATCGGAAAACCAGTCGTGCTTCACTGACAAAATAGTAGTTAGGTTCTGTTGGTCACGCAGCCCTTGCCCACGGGAGCGGGCCTGGAGGCCGGGACAGCCGCATTCTGGAAAGCAGCCCAGAGGCTGAAGTCCTGAAGGCGGCATCGGGCTGAGCACGTTCTCCACTCAGAAGTGGAGGCCGACCTGGGTCAGGAGAAGCTTTGATCCTGCAGGTTTCAGGCTAGAGATCACTAGAGTCCTGGCTCCTTTGGGGTGTGGTGCCAGCTGTCCCCCCTCTCCTGCCACAGCCTCTCGGCTGGCCGCTGAGTAGGGGGCGCCCTGAGATGACGAGGACCCCGGCAGCCCAGGCCTAGCAGCACTTGCCCCTCCTGTCCCCTGAACCTGCCACAGTGTCCCCTCTGTGTCTGCCGTGGATCCCTGCACCAGCTGCTCACTTCCTGGCCCGAGTCCTGACCCGGGTCTGTTCTTTAGTTCATGCGAGCAGACCAGAGCTGATACAATGCCAAGCCAGCAGCTTCAGGCATAACCTGCCATTCCGCTGTCCCCACGTTCACTCAGGTGATGTAGCATTGAGTGACTGCTGTGCCACGCCTGGCTCTGGGGGTACCGTGTGGGAGATGAGACAGAGTTCAGTGGGAGAAGATACCGAGCAAGTGACCTCCCAATCTCTGACCCAAGAGATGTTCGTTCAGATGAACTGAGGATAATAAGCGGATTCACCCTGGCAGGACTTCCTAGATAGATGATCAGACGGGGAGGAGAGGGAAGTAGGAGGTGCAAAGGCCCTGGGGCAGGCAGCTTGGCAGTTCCTCAGGAAGCTGAGTATACAGTTGCCACAAGACCCAACAACTCCACTTCCAAGGTATACACTAAGAGAAAAGCACGTCCACCTGATGATTTATACATGAAGATTTATGGCCTCCTTACTGCTAACAGCCAGAAGGCAAAACATTCAAATGCCCTCCATAAACAGTGTGATGTAGCCATACAGCAAATATGAACCAGCCGTAAAGGATGAGGAACCGAAACAGCAAACCTTGAAACACACCAGTCACAAAAGGCCTCCCTCCCGTTGTGTGATTCCTCTTCTCTTTCACAAGCTACCTTCTGTCTGTTTACTGTGGCACTAGGGGTGGGACCCAGGGCTGTGCACCCTCGCCCTGGGTGACTCCAAGTCCAAAATGCCCACAGCGGAGGGAGCTGCACACGGAGCGGGTCCTGCTGCAGAGCTCCGCTGTCCCAGCATCCACAGCGGCAGCCACGCTGGCTTCTCCCGGCCTCCTGGGCTGCTGTTGCCTGCACAACACTTCCTCACCTCTCCCGAGGCTGCCAGACCACCTCATCACCTCATTCTACTTCCCTGAGCTCTTAAGGGGCCCTGTCCCCAAATACGGGGCTGGGGACGTAGCTCAGTGGCTGAGCGTTTACTGGGTTCACTTCCCAGTACCATAAAAAAGCAAATGTATACGTGAATAGCCACGTCCCTGAGGTACTGGGGTTAGGATTTCCACCTGCGAGTTTGGGGTGGGGGACACAGTTCGGCCCTCACACCAGAGGGATGCAGAGTGACCTCCGGTGTGCTCAGTGTCTCTCGGGGCTTGGTGGTAGTCTGGAGTTAGTGGCAGTCAGGATGACGTGAATGCACTAAAATCCATTGAATTATCAGTGATGGGGGTGGGGAGAGGGTGCTGGGGGCGCAGAGGGCAGGGTGCCTGCCACAGGGCTTCCCTACCCCAACCTCCAGGCTCCAGGTGTCTGCTGTCCACACACACCCTCTGCCTGCCACAGTGGCTTTAGAGCTGTTAGGGACCATTTCATACCAGGGTTGGGGTTGGAATTGGGACATTGTATAACACATTTATTGGTACTATATGTTAGCCTGAGGCACTAGTACTGAGCTGCCTCCACAGCCATTGTTTGTTTGTTTGTTTGTTTTGAGGCAAAGTCTCAGCAGGTTGCCCAGGCTGAGCTCAAACTTGAGACCCTCCTGCCTCAGCTTTCTGGAGCACTGGCATTACGGGCATGCGCCATCACCCAGGCCAGGGCACACAGGGCTGCCTGTGCCCCTCATGAGGCCCCTCCTGTGCCAGCACCGTTGCGCCCTGGCACAAATGCACCACTAAGTACTCATACTGTCCTGTGAGCGAGGGACCGGCCCGCAGGCAACAAACAGTGGCAGTGGGAAGTGGCCTGGCACCCAGCTGTGTGCCAGCCTTGGAGAGTGGGGTTTATTGTCCTACTGTCCTTGTAGGGTGGAAGAGGAAACTGAGGCCCAGAGCGGCAAATGGCTCAGCCAGGGCCCTGGGATGAGCAGGCCTCTAGCACCAGCTCTCGCTGCGGGAAGATGCTGGCCAGGTGTCCAGGTGACCACAGTGCAGCACAGGGACAGAGCCGGGGCCGGGATGTGTGGGCGGATGGGGAGGCAGCTCGGGCACCGGCCCCAGGTCATCTGTTTCCTTGGGGCCATTGGCGCTGCCAGGTCCCTGATGGCCGCCCCAGCAGGGTGAGGTACCTCGGGCCCTGAAGGGTGTGAGGCAGTCGGGCGCTTCCCTGGTGGGGGAGCATGGGGTGGGGGTGGCTGAGGCCCGCCTGACCTTGCCGCCGACATTCCTCGGAGGCCACGTGGCTCCGAGTGGCAGGGACAGCTGCGCCCAGGGCCGCTGAGGCAGCTGTGTTCCCGAAGTGGGCCCCGC